GAGAAACGATTTTTACTAATGAGGGGTCATTGGGTGCATGGGAGGCCAAAAATGGAGAAACGGACCCCCAATGATGCTGATGATGCTGGCCCCCTTGGCCAGCATCATCAGCATCATTGGGGTCCCGTTTCTCCTTTTGCCGCCTGGTTCCTGAATCTTGGATGTTGGAACCGAGTTCTATGGTGGGTTTGTGATGGGGATATTGATGGGTGGGATGATGGGTTGCAGGACTTATGGTGGTTTTAAGCAAGTTTTCTGCTGATATTATACTGGTTTTATTGAGTTTGCATGTGAGTTTTCGCACCCCCCCACCCCCTGCCCGCCCAGCCATCATGTGAAGCCAGGCCCATGCTGATGCTCCCAAGCGCCACGAGTGCTCAAGAGTGAGAGGTTGGTTATTTCTTGAAAGCCTGGGCCACTGTGTAATCAACGGTAAAGATCCGCTAGAAGGTTCAGGACCTCCAACGCAAACTTGCTAGATCCCTTCGCACATGGTTTCAGAATGTCTGATTCATGCAGCGGTATGGATGATCTTACAGATTCTGCAGAATCCAGCTCTGGATCGATTGAGTCGCACAGCGATCCAGAAGACCGAGCAGAAGAATCATTTGCTTCCACATGTGTGGACGCAAAACGAAAGGTCGTCATACAGGCACACCGCGACTACCACCTGCAGCAGGGTCGAACCAGGCGCTCTGTTTCAGGATCCAGTGGAAGGTTACTTCATGATACGTATGGGCTGGACTTTGAAACCTACCGGATGCGAATCGAGACAAACTTGCCTATGGAGGTCCGGGACCGGATCGAATCCTCCCTTAATATGCTTACATCCACCTGGGCAGCACCACTCCCCCTCAATGATCAGCAATTTGTTCGAGGCCTGGGAGGAGCAGAGGACCCCGATCGAGCTTCCATACTGCAGCAGTTTCAGCTACTGTTCCATAGGGCAGCAACAGCGCAAGGGCAACCAGCAATGCACGCACGATCGCTTACAGATGTTCTGCGCCGACAAACTAAGTACACGCTGTATCGGTCTACAACGGAGTTCCTTGTTCGCACTCTGCCACCGGAGTATAGAGATCAGCTGTTGCAATGGATTGCTGAGGTCAAAATACAAAATCGTGCGAGAGCACGTGCACCGTTATAGAGACCTCACCCCTCCTCTAGGCAAGACGGGCAGGAAATGGATCTTCAGGTATGGTCTCAGCCGCCGACGCGTACGTCTGCGACCCAAGCATAGGGCTCGCCAAGTTGACTGGCAGATGGCTTTTCTCAGAGCCGCATCTTTCTGGCAGCATGTGCAACACAGTTTGCGCTCCAGACGGCATGCCTACTGCACGCCAACCGGCCATCTTCTGAGCCCCCATTACACGGCGGCGGGACTTCCCGGATCAGTTGACAAAGCAACCTCTTCCGCAATAAGACAGCGCACTCGCTCCGGTCCTAAGTCCGGAGTTCGAGCTGGAGGACACAGAGGCCACAGCAAGCTTCAGACATTAATCTGCTTCTTGGTCACGACAAGTAACTTCTCCGGCTCGAATGGCGTGAAGGTGGGTCCATCGCCTATGGGTGGGCCGGGAGCTCCCATTTTGGGGGCGAAGCCACATGGGCAAATCCCAATAGTGGCCACGGACGCAGCCAAGAAGAGGTCTTTCAGGCGGGCCGTCCATAGAGCTGCAACATCAGAAGACCAATGTACATGGTATAGAGGGAAACGGATGTCGCTACAACAGCTTGGGGTTAGGATAGATTCTGCAAGGGAGAACAACTTCCAGCAGCCCTCGAAGCATTCGAAGCCCCAAGCACTACACCCCAGACTGCGCATGGTTACATGGAACTGCGGAGGGCTCCATGACACGAAGTACAGCGAAATTATGCGTTGGCTTTGTGATGAACATGAGCAAGGAAGGCCTGTCCATATAATGGCCCTGCAGGAAACGGCATGGAAATTCGACACGGAATATGTCACCAGCGCCCTCTGCCCGCAGGGACCTCAGTGGTACGCAGTACATAACAGCTCGGGCTCTTCCGAGGGTGGCATCATGGTCTTGATACTTTCAACACTGGTCAATTCAGATCAAATCAGGACAGCCACTATTCATCCGGGACGACTGTTTCATGTTAGGTTGATGATGGACCCACCTCTTGACCTTTTATGCATATATCAGCACTCCTGGAATGTTCAGAAGAAGACAGACCCAGCAGCTGACACCACGCAGGCCCACACCAACAAGACAGAGCAGCTCTTACAAAGGAGGAGAAAAGTCTGGAATCAACTAGGAAGCTGGATTGCGGGGATTCCACGCAGGAACGGATGTATCGTCATGGGGGACTACAACACTCCGGTACAACCGCTACAGCCCTCAGGAGGCAATGGCATTGCAAAGCCAGATTCCCAGATTACACAGACTGACGCCGGCCATCTCCAACAGTTACTGCAAACCCACTCGGGCTGCATGCTGAACACATGGGCAAAGGCCGGACCGACAGCGCGCACTTTCATCCCCGCTGGCCCGGCAGGCAAGGACCATGGCACACAGATCGACTTCATTATGACTAGAGGCAGAATGGCGGACGGCGTCGCTAAGCAAGCCCGAGCATTTTCTGCACCATTTGTACCTCATACTGGATGTCGACATTTGCCTGTAGAATGTTATGTTATAAAGCCGGCGCGGCCTTCTACCAGACACCTTCCCCGCCGATTACAGCCACATGAAGTGCGATACAATCTTCAGCGTGAGCAGACTGCCAAAGCTTTCGAGACACATATGGACAAGGTGCTACACGAGATGGACCCCCTGGCCGACAGCCTGGACCACCAACTGCTGGCAGGATGGAAGCATAGCACAAACACGGCCCAGCTCAAGTTAGCAAAGCGCAATGCGTCTCAACCAGCCCTGCAGGAGGAGGAGCACAAGAAGCAAATCCACACGATGTGGGAACTTCGACAATCACTCCGCTCTGTGCCCAGTCTCGCTCAATGGCAGCCAATGGGTCCTATGATGCATGTGTTCAAAGGCTGGAAGCTGGCTGCACGCCTACAAGCCGTCACCAGGCAAGTACGCAAGGCGGGGCAGGAACGCAAAATACAGAAAGTAAAGGACGTCCTTGACTCTAGTAACATCTTCAAAACTGCCAAATGCTTAGCACCTAAAACCCCCAAGCGTCGTATACAGCTCAGAGATGCTCAAGGGAAGATTCAGACACACGAGCAAGAGCATCGGCAGATCGTCGACTTCTTTCAAAAGCTGTACGATGGCCCGCAAACAACGCAGCAGCCGCTGACCAGGCCCATCGAGATTAGCATTGAGGAAATCCTTGCAGTAATCCACAGGATGGCCCCGTCCAAGGCTATGCCCTCCAGCAGCACGCCGACAGCTCTGTGGAAATGGATGTCCAAGCCACTGGCCTACGTCCTGCATGCACAGTTTGCGCATGTCTTGCAAATAGGAGAGACACAACTGCCTTCGGCGTGGAATGTCAGCGAACTGGTTTTGCTACCTAAACCAGGAAAATCTATAAGAAGCGCTGCAGACCTCAGACCCATCTCTTTGCTCCCACCAGAGATGAAGATCCTGTTGCAGCACGAATCCGTCCTCAGGTCCTTGCATATTTGGCATCGACGCCTCAGTATGCTTATCTCGAAGGCAGGACCACGCAGCAAGCATTGACCAGGGTACTTTCACATTGCGCTGAAGTACGTGGAGTCGTTCAGGGACAGTCTATGAACATACATGCTACACACATGGGACGCACGCAGAAACACATCTATGGCGGCACGCAGTTGTCCTTAGATATTTCAAAGGCATTCGACAGACTCTCCCGACATGACTTGGGACAAGCTCTTCTTCAGGCACGGGTACCTCAAGAACTGGTAGCGCTCATCCTCAGCACACACGCTCAGGCCAGAGTCCAGGTTCAACACTGCGGACACAGCCAAGAGGCGCCGTGCAGGGATCGGGATTGTCCCCACTCCTGTGCGCTTTGTATTCCGGGTTCCTGCTGAAGGATATGCACGGATCAGTAGTAAACGTGGGAAAGAGCAACACAACATATGCTGACGACTTTCACTTTGCTTGGACCGTCCACAACATTGTTGACTTTGACAAGGCATATAGCGCTGCTCGCCACGTCCTCCAATCCCTGCACTCCAGAGGCCTTCAAATTAGCACAGACAAGACGGTCATCATCCTGGACGTCAGGGGGAAGCAAGCGAATAAAGCACTCCGCAGGTACGTGGTCAAGACCAGTCAGGGCAAATGCATCCGTTTTCAATTCGGAGATCAATGCCTGGACCTTAAGATTGTCGCAAGCCACACATATCTGGGCGCCAAGATTTCTCTTCGTAAATTTGAAGCAGAGACAGCCCAACACCGGATACAATTGGCCAAAGGCAGCTACAACCGCCTTCGCCATATCTTCCGATGTCAGGCAGTACCTCTTAAGCTTCGAATCAGATTATGGCACAGCTGCATTCTTCCATGTCTTTTGCATTCACTTGACTGCACAGGGGTGACAGACATCACGGCGGCCAAAATCTGGAGCCTGGTTACCCAGCAACTGCGTCAGATTACCAAGTCTTACAGCATGTTTACCTTGGAGGCCAACAAGGACCTGCTGCTCAGACTCAAGATTGAGGACCCCGTCGACCCAATTTACAAGGCATTTATCAGATGCACCACCAAACCCCAAGCAGAATACGACGCACTGCAGGTTTGGGAGTCTCATGGACAATGGCTGAGCACCCTTCGTGGGCGCTTCTATGACAATTCTGAGGCAGCATCTCAGGCTGCTTTGGGTGCTCGCACCGGCCCTGAGTCAAGAACCTCTGGCAAAGCTAGAGTCATGCCAGTCCATTTGGTTGCGGAACAATTTGCCTGTAACGAGTGTGGGTTTGCCTTCGCCACACAAGCGGCCCTCAAAGCACACAAATTCAAGATGCACTATGAAGAAGTCGACAAGAAGGCCAGACAGCAAGAAATCATACAACACAAGCAATCTCAGGCTACAGAGCACGCGAGGAATGGCACGCCTACCTGCAGACATTGTGGTCACGATTTCGAGTCATGGCCCGCCTTTACATATCATGTTAACTCACGGAGCTGCCCAGAAATTAGACATTTCTTCTCCCAGCCAGATTGTCAAAGTCAGCTCGCAGATCTCCAAGTAGCTCTAACCTTTCAGGACGAAGTGCTGCAGGCAGCCACACATATGACATGGCAGGAGATGGCGCTGCTCCCGGCGGTCAAAAGAAGTCATAACCACTGCGTTGAGTGCAATCATTGGTGCGCAAGCCCCCTTTATGTGAGGCGACACATGAGGGCCAAGCATCCAGAGCTCATGCCACTAGTAGATCAGACAATCTCTCGCATCATCCAGAGCGATTTTGCTCTCAGCGATCCGCGCCGATTCTGTGGACAAGCCTTCCGCCTACGCCGCGATCACCTCAGATCCTGCATTGGCATCTTTAATGGTCATTACCTTCTTAGAAGACTCGCCCGCAAGTCTGACACAGGTCGGGAACATGTCATCGGCAGTGAATCGGGAGCTGTCGGAGGCCACCAGCGAGCTGGACATGATCAAAGCGCTGACTCCAGGTCTGGCCACAACGGCACAGACAACAGCGGCCCCGACCTCAGCACCGATGGACACATCGAAGAAGAAAGAGGACGGCAAGGAGGAGCACCCGGACGACAGGACGAGGGCGACAGGGACAACCAGCAGAAAGTGGCCCCCAGGCGCAAGCAAAGGTGGCTATCAGAGCCGGGGCAAAGGAAGATCTCAGGATTCTTCCAGCTGGGACGGTTGGAAAAATTGGGAGAACCACGGCCCTGGAAAGCCTCCTTGCAGACCCGGCGAAGATGGAGAATGCCAAGAAGCTGGGCTGGATCAAGGACGGCCACTTCACTGGAATGAAGTGGAACCCGGACAAGAAGGTCCACGAGCTGGACGAGAGCGTCCCCTTGGTGCTAATCCAGGGTGCCATGGAAGTCCTCTTCAAGGCAGTGAAGCTGAGCGGAGCCCTTCGCGGTGAACCGCTACCACGCCATGAGGCCGCTCTCATCCGAGTACACAAGCCCTACCCTCACCATGTTTCTGGAAGTGGGATTGAGGACGGCAGAGGCGAATCGTCTCTGGAGTATTTTCAACAACCTGTCCCAGACTTCAGTATGGGTGGCCGTGGGTGCGTACTGCCGCCACGAACGGCTCCAGCAGAGCGCCCTAGCCAATCGGCTTGCACAGAGTTCCAGCAACTAGTGCTGGGAGCTCAGCTCTGCAACCGTAGCAATCACTGCTACGCCAACTCAGTGCTGAAGTGCATTATGTGGTTGAGCGCAGACTTGACAGAGTTTCAGGCCGCGATCGGGAATTCAATTTTCAGCGACATCAGGCCAGCTTTTCAGGGACAACCGCTTTCTTTGCGGCAGCTCCCATCATGGCAGGAGGCAACGAGAGAGTGGGCGATGCCTCACTCGCAACATGATGCGGGAGACTTCCTCAGATTCCTTGCGGAACATTGCCCCGGACTCAGATTTGCACTGGAGATGACGTGGGAAGCCAGGTCCTTTCGTGGAGATGAGCTACCGTGCCTCCACATTGCAGACGCTATACTACCTCAGTCACACTGTACCTGAGTGTTCTTTCGCCCAACTTCGCTGATGGACACGAAGCATGGACAGCACAGCAGTTGTTACATGGATGGGAGAACCAGGCCCACGTGCACGCGCTGACTGATGCACCGCTGACGCTTGCAGTTTTGGCAGGGCGCTTTCAGACGGTACATGGCCAGATCCGTAAGTTCCATGGCACAATCATCCCCAATGAAAGTCTGGAGGTTCCTGTTTACACTGAAGCTGATTTCATTACAAAGCGCTACGTGCTGAATTCATTCATCGCTCACGAGGGAGACACATCTTCCTCAGGCCATTATATGCAGTTTTGAGACATGATGGAGTCTACTACAGAGCAGATGACAACTCCTCAGCCACGCTTATGAACAGTGTACAGTTCAGGCAAAGTTGTAGACAGAGCTACTTGTTTTTCTACCAAAGTAGTTAAGATGTTGTAGCAGTTGGATAATGGCCCAGGCCACCTGCTTTAGGGTCTTTGGACCGGGGTGGCCCTTTTAAGAGCTGGGATGCCGAAGAGCAGCTGCGTGCCGGGCAAAATGCCTGTCCCTACTTAGCGCTGGCAAAGACCTCTCGAACTTTGCAGCGAGGAAAGTGAAAGTGAAAGTGAAAAGCTGATGCTCCCAATTGACAGACATGTACAAGAAACTTATGCTATTGCTGCCTGGTATGTTTTTTAGGTCTGGAAGGTCCTGTTCTCTCTAGTTCAATTGAAGACGGCCCAAAATGAAGTCCCAGTTGTGCTGATGATGTTCCTGTACGAGGCGCGCGCGCGCGCGCCTCGTACAGAAGCATCATCAGCACAATTGGGAACCCATTTTTACCTGATTGGGACCAGGGGGGTCAAAAGTCCAAGAAAATTTATCAAAGCACGAAGGCGGCAGGGGCGGCTGCCGCTAGGCCTAAAATCGGGCAACGCCCTGGGGGTTGCTGCCGCAGGCCATGGGTCTGGCTTTAGCCATGGATCGGAGGTCAAGGCCTTCCCGGACCCCCTTCCATCCAAAACCACTCCAACACTCACATGGTCACATGGCTTTTTGAAGCGAATCCCTTTTCATAGGGAGGGATTTTTGAAGGAGTTTTGGGGTCCCCCAAACCCCCCCAAATCTACATCATGAGCACACACCGTTTTGAAAACTAGCCTCCCAAGCCCATGGGCCCGAACACCATTTTTCGGAGCTTGGGGGGGTACTGGAAGACGCGCTGCCCATGGGGGCTCGTTTCTCCAGTCTGAGCGGCGGGGAGGGCCTGCCCTTATGCCCGCGTAGGACATCATCAGCATAATGGGGGCTCAATTCCCGAATTGGAGTGGAGGGGGTCCTGGCAAGGTGGGGGGGCGCGCGCGCGTGCGCGCGGCCCCCCCCCAACAAGCATGCTTCTCGAGCCCGGCCTCGAGGCTGCCTGCGTTGCCTGCTTCTGGGCGCAGCCAGCCTGTCCAGAGCTTTAGCTGTATAAGGAGTGGCACCAGCGCCGACCCCCCGCTGCCCGTGCATTATCGTTATCGGACCTCCGTTTCTTCCAGGGCCTTTCCCGGACCCCGAATCCTCACGGCACGGAAGGATTTTTGAAGGATTTTGGGCCCCCCAAAACCCTCAACAATTGCATCATGAGCACGGGCCGTTTTGAAGACTAGCCCCAAAGCCCCTCTTGGGGTACGGCTGAGAAAAGTCTAGATTTGATCAGGGGTCGCTTAGGAGGTCAAAATTGGAGAAATGGATTCCCAATGCTGCTGACGATGCTGGCCCCCTGGCCAGCATCATCAGCATCATTGGGGTCCCGTTTCTCCCTTTGCCAGGCTTCTAGGCTGCCTGTGCCCATTGGGCCAGGCTTGATGGGGTTCTTGAATTTGCAAGTTTTATGGTGGGTTTGCCATGGGGATATTGATGGATGGCGTGATGGATTGCAGGTATGTATGGTGGTGGCTTTATGCAGGTTTTCTACGGGTTGTATACCGGTTTTATGATGGTTTTATGGGGTTTGCGTGTGGGTGTTCGCAGCCCCGTCGCACCCTGCCCACCCAGCCATCATGTGAAAACCAAGCCATGCTGATGCTCCTGATTCACAGAAGTGTACGAAAAACTTATGTTATTGCTGCCTGGGATGTTTTTGTGGTTTTGAGGTCCTCTTTTCTTTAGTTTAATTGAAAAGGGCTCAATGCGAGGTCCCAATGACGCTGATGATGTTCCTGCACGAGGCGCGCGCGCGCGCGCGCCTCGTACAAAAGCATCATCGGCACAATCGGGAACCCGTTTTGGCATAGTCGGGACCAGGAGGGCTAAAAGCCCGAGAAAAGCTATCAAAGTACCAAGGCGGCACAGCCAGCCCGTGCTGCTAGGCCTAAAATCCGGCCCTGCCGTCGTGTCAAGAGCTTTAGCTCTATTTAGGGCCTGGCAGCACGGGCCGGCCTGGCCGTCGCCCCATCGCCCACCCAGCCCCACCCGTTTGAAAGCTTTCTTGACCCTAATCAAGCCACAAATAAAATCCTCTTGGTCCCAATTAAGCCAAAATGGGATCCCAATTGTGCTGATGATGTTCTGGCACGAGGCGCGCCTGCGCCTCGTACAGGAACATCATCAGCACAATTGGGACCCCATTTTCAATCAATTGGGATCAGGAGGGGCCCAAAAGTAGTTCCAAACCTTCAGGGGCAGACTGCGGTCAACCCCCTCTTCGAGGTACACATAGGGCCAAAAGGCCAATGCAAGTGGAAAGCTGGAACACAACTTGCTGCAGGGGCAGACTGCGGTCAAACCCCTCTCAACGAGGCACACTGGAGGCCAAAAGGCCGGCGCAAGACAAAAGTTGCAACACAGCTAAGGCAGATGCAACGAGAGCATCAGAACACGGAACCCTACTATCGCAAGGGAATATCAACCCAATCCCAGGCAGGAAAAGTGGAAAAAACCTGAGAAGCCGGCGGCTTACCCTTCACGACACGCAGGCTGGCAAGAATGCGCTCAGCATGCTGGTTCCAGCGACCACCAGAACTGATCCCGCAACGCGAGCATTGCCAACGCATAAATTCGTTGCTGTATTGCAACTGATGCAAGCCAGAGTGGGCAAGCATCCAGGCGTCAACGGCAGCAGCCGTGTGACCACGGTCCAAAATGCAATATGGTTGCATTAGGGGGGAGGAAAACATTAAAAAAAGGCAATAACGGCTTTAGGGTGGGGATGCTCGAAGTAGATAATTTGGACTTGTTTGTGAGGCTTTCCCCCACGGTAGGGAGGGTTTAGGGCACGGTTTTTTAGGCAAGCATCATCAGCACAGCACAATTGCGCCTTCGTCTCTCACTTTTGGACACGTCAACATACCTAGGGTTTTAGAAGGGTGTTGGAACCTCATATGTGTGGTTTCAAAAGAAGAATAGGGAGCCCAAAAAAGGCCTCATGATGCTCATGATGCTAGTTTTTGGGGATCTGCTGGGCGCTTAAAGTGCACGATAAACCCAAGAAAACGCTCAAAACACACGCTGTGGGCAGTGTTTGTGGCTGTGAATACCAGTGTAAGTAGGATCTGTACTGTACTGTATGACAAGCATGAAACAGGTTTGGCGTGCATTGCCCAGGCCAAACCCTATAAAATGTGCATGTCTCATGGGTTTGTGTGTTTTGCCCATATTTCCAGTACTTTTGTGGCTCCTCTGAGCTTGTCCAATACGTGAAATGGGTCTTTTGCAAAAACTGCACTTGTGGGCAAGAACTTGGTGAGCCTGCGCAGAGAACCCTGTTCAAATTCATCTTTGATGGTTTATCCTGGATGTCCTTCTCGGCAAGGAATTTGGCGAGACCAATGAAGGCCTCCTGTATTGCACTCGCTGCTTTGGCACGTGGCAATGGAGGAAACGGCATGCCAATATGGCTCGCACTGTGTGCTGCGGCTCGCACTCCAGGGCAAATTGCTGTGGGCACTGCAGGGATACTTCATGGTTGGGCACTGCAGGGGTACTTGGTGGTTGGGCGCTGCATGGATACTCAGCGGTTGGGAGCTGCAGGGATACTCTGCAATTGGGCACTGCAGGGATGCTGTACTCTGCGGTTGGGCACTGCACGGACACTTGGTGGCTTGGGCACTGCAAGGATACTCTGCGTTTGGGGCACTGCAGGGATATTGCATTCTGCGGTTGGGCACTGCAAGGATACGTTGCCATTGAGCATTGCACGGATACTTGGTGGCACTGCAGGGATACTTCGCGCTTGGGCACTGCAAGGATGCTGTACACTGCGGCTGGGCGCTGCAGGGACAGTTGGTGGTTGGGCACTGCAGGGATACTCTGCGGTTGCACGTTGCAGGGATCTGCGGTTGGGCGCTGCAGGGACACTTAGTGCTTGGGCATTGCAGGGATACTTGGTGGTTGGGCACTCCAGGGATACTTTGCAATTGGGCACTGCAGGGATACTCGGTGGTTGGGCACTGCAAGGATAGTTTGCGGCTGCAAGGACTCTCTGCGGTTGGGCGGTTGGGCATTGCAGGGGTACACAGCGGTTGGGCACTGCAGGGATACTCAGCGGTTGGGCATTGCAGAGGTATTCAGCGGTTGGGCACTGCAAGGATACTCAGCGGTTGGGCACTCCAGGGATACTCTGCGGTTAGGCATTGCAGGGATATTGTATTCTGCGGTTGGGCACTGCAGGGATACGTTGCCATTGAGCACTGCAGTCACGCTCCGCCCGGAGGGCGAGGACAACATAGACGTTTAAAATCCAACAACTCCACTTGCGAGGGTGGGGAAAAACATCTTCATTTTTGACCCCCAAAAACACGGTTCCAATTTTCAAAACGGCCCGTGCTCATGATGCAAATTTTGAGGGCTTTGGGGGGCCCAAAATCCTTCAAAAATCCTTCCGTGCCGTGAGGATTCGCTGTTGGAGCGCACATGAATTTTGGAGCGGTTTTGGGATGCGGTTCGGGGGTGCCTTGGGAGAAACGGAGGTCCGATGACGCACCGGCAAAGGGGGTTTTTGCTGGTGGCGGCACTCCTGGCCGCCGTGGTCCAGAGGTGGCC